AGGGGTTTGTGGTCTATAAAGTATATATACAAATAACTCCTACCTTTAACGGTGCTTCATCCCACCATCCTCGGCTGCTGGGCTCACCACTGACTCCAGGTTTCCTTGACAACCCCTCCACTGCCTGAACATTACTAAGAGGCTTTTCTTGCGATGACCTTTCTTCTAAATATTGAATGGATGGACTTTCTTTCTTCAATGCAAAAGACTTTGGGACAAATTCTGGGACATGTGGAGAGAGAGCAGAAATGGGAGTTTTGGAGGTAGGATTTGGGAGAAATTTTGCTTCAACAGAAGAATCTGACTTGTCGTTATTTTTGCTTGAAGATGATGTCTGTCCAACCTATGAAATACAGGTAGATTTAGCCACATTAAATCTGTGARCCTTGAGCATGGTTTATCTAGAACATTTGATCTGGAAAAGTATGCTTCTTCACCAAAACGAAAAAACGTTCTTTCTAAATTGACCATTAGATAAGCAATCCTTGTTAAATTAGTATAGGAAATCGCACAATCTTGAGTACAATTTGGAATTTATAGGTACGAGTGATGTTTGAAAGTTTTCAAAATTGGACGAGCCTTAAAGCAAGTCCGATTTTGAAAACTTTCAAAACATCACGAGTATCTATAAATTTTGAACTGTACAAGAAGATGGTGTAATTTTTTGTTTATGATATGCTCAACAAAATTGAGCAATTCAATTGGGACTCTACAGAGTACAATTTGGGATTTAACTGTACTCCGCTTGCCCAATCAAATAAATAAATAAATAACAATATAATTAATAACAATAATAATTAATAACCAGTCTGAAATATTGTATACTATCTTTTGAATATTAAACAAGCTACCTCAAAGCAGATAAGCAATAGACCCTTTCACAATTTCCAATGCCATATTGCTTGGGGGCAAGTTTACTAAGAAGCGATGGGGAAGGAGATACGTTTTTCGTTATTTTTCTGTAGATGGAGAATCCTCTGTTCAATGTGGCCCCCAAGTAATGTGGCGTCGGAAACCGTGAAAGGGTCTACTTCATGTTTTAGTATTTGTATTTCATGTTTTACTTTCATTGATTGCCATCTTTGTTTTGTTTTGTCTCCTTAACCAACCATAATGCCTTGCAGTTCAAGATGGGCACTGTTGTCGAAGTAATCCATTACACATAACTCTACTACTGAGTCAACAGCAAACGCAATGGAATAGTTCTACGAAATGGTGGCCATGTTGTATTGCTAGACATTATGGGGCATCCAGGGGGCAAATAAAAGCTTACTTACAGTAATTATGTCGATTGATATTAATAGCTCACCACAAGAGAATATAACAATTAAAGATGAATTAAGATGGGACAACGATCACTTTTACCCATAAGAGAAAGACAAAAAACACAAAACYCTATATATTTTCTGTCATCTTTGTTTTGTTCTACCCCCTGGCAAAATGGCTGCCACATTGTTGTCCAGTAGTCCATTATATCAGACTATATAAGAAAACAACTACATTATAGCTTCAAAACAGCAACCAGAAGTACAGCATAAACAACAATAAATAAGATRATTAAAAACATGAACAAGATTTCTAGATAATCTGGAAGCTGAATTCTTAAATCTACACATATTATTTATGTAATTTCCTCAAAATATTGTWGTATCATGCTATATATATATCCTTATAAACGCATAATCCAAAAGTCATATCTATATTAAAGGCTTTTTAACTCAAGTCCGCCTCAATTTTTAGTTTTACAAAGAATTACGCGTCCAAATAGGCAATATTAATTGTTATGCATATAAGTAAACTAATTAACTTGAATGAAAAACACGCGGAAAAAAATAGCTTTAACTTTATTTTTAAGCAGGAAACCTAAGCAATAAAAGGATAAATTCTTTATATTAAATGAAAATATRTACCCTGRAAAAAATCCCTCTGAAACCCAGGGTAGAAAATATAAAGCCATTATATAATATTAGACGATAATAAATGCTGTACTTCAATATCCTGATATTTTTCTGGATTGGGCTCCCTGAGGCCTCGAAGCTTCGTTTCAAAATATCAATCACAAAAGCAAAAATACTTAATACAAGATACAAAAATTGGATGAACAGAAGCTATCATACCTTTTTCATCGTTCCATTGCTCATTTGGCTGTAACAGAAGCGTAATAAAAGTAATTTACGCCAAGAAAATCAGACTGCAGTCCGTTCGTTTAGTGTGAACCTATCGAGTTAAGTGTCACGAAGTGTCACGCGCCGAACGCGCCTTCCGAGCCTTCTACGAATAAAGTTCGGATTACCGATGACTCTCCGAAAGAAAATACAAACCAACCGGAAGTACCTGGAATAGTTTGAGYTTTTCAAGCAGCTCTGCTCTGCTCGAAAAATAAATCAAAAAGTTTCTTTCAAAGA